TAAGAGAGTTTCTTTGTTTTATACAAAGACTTCTTTTTTCCTATAAGAGTTTTGGCCATTTGTTAACTTGTTTTTGTGAAATTTGGAGTTTTTACTAAGTTCTAAATTTGGACCGGAGGATCAGCAGAAAGAGTTTTCCAATGTGATTTAACTTTAATAGAGTTAATAAAAATATTTTTAGTTGTTATGGGTGAGTTGATAATAGAAATAATATCTCAATTTTTTTTTGGATGAGTTTATAAGATGTAAAGCCTAATAAGCTTTTAATTGCTAAAAGGTTGTCTATATAAATAGTAAGTGTAAAATCTATTGGTAAAGTAAAGAGTAGGAGAATAATTGCTATTAGTTCTGAATAAGTAGAATCGGGAGAAGAGGAGATTGCTATACAGAAATTAATAGAGAGGTTATTTTTACAAATCTAGCCTATGCTAGTTTGCATATTAGATATTTGAAGATTTTTAATAGAGGCATCAGTATAGAATTGTAAGTAGTTGTGTTTAGGTTCAAAATATTGTTATGTAATTAAGTTAGGTAGTTTTGATAGCTAGGTGTTTTAATAATATGTTGTATACAGGGTTGTGCAAGCTATATATTTGGTAATTTTTAATTTGACATCAGACATTTTTAAATTGTTCTATGCAATTCTGATATCGATGTGGTGTAGTATGGTTGTTACTAGACTATGTCCGATTACATTGCATAAAACAATTCAGACAATTTTTCAATATCCAATAATTGTCTAATACTAATTTGATTCTATTATATTAGCACATGACCAAGGTAAAAACTATATAAAAAAATTAATTATATAGATCAATTTAGTGTATATATGTTTATTGCTTATTTTATTTTTATTTTTAGTTTGGTAATTATCCTTGAAACATATATTATTTAAAATGAAAAGAACCTTTTTGCTATTTGTTTAAAACCTTTATATGAAAAAAAATTGACTTATTTGCCAATATATATATTTTAAACCTTTTATTATAAATAGATTACTACATAAACCATTATAGTAATAGTATAAATTTTGAAACCAATATTCATAGTTTATACAGATAATAAATTATAACAAAAGTTAAGTGTAACTGAAAAAACTAGGATTTAAATATATTAGCTAGTGGGAAATTTAATTTTTTTTATATGAATATTATGAATAAATCATATATATTTTAATTGATAATTTCTAAGCTAAAAATAAATATAAAGGAGGTGTAGTGACTTAGTGTAGTGGTCTAGTCATCACCCTCTCCAAGTGGCAGGTCTAGAGTTCAAATTCCACTGGCGACAATATTTGAAAAATAGGCTTGTGTTTGGTTGATGGCTATGCTTATCGGTTGGATCTAATCTGTAACTTTGGTCACACTATCTTGTAATGGAAGCAATGGCGCAATAAATCTGAGGAACCAGTATAACTGAAAACCTATTTGGGAAGTCCCAAGCTAGAAATAACAATGATCTTCGATAGTATTACAAGAGGGCTGAATTCGAACCAGGGCCCGAGATTAGAGAACCGAACGACCAGGTCCTAATGGCGGAGGACACACCAGCCAAACTACCAGTTCTGTCATACCAGAGGAAAAGAACATATGCTCTAAAAGTATGTATCAAGGAGAGAGCATCCTTCAGACACCTAAAGCCTGGGCAGACCAACTTTTCCAGATTGCCAGCTGGAAGTAAGGGAGAGACTGATAAAGAATCCAGATAAGAAGATGGCCTAATTGCAGGTATTAGGGTTGTTGTGAACCTAATAAGGGCAGAAGTAGGTAATTGCAGGGGTTTAATAGTTAGCTCTGACCCCAAGTGCATAGGTAAAGCCATGGCGTAGATTGCTGAAGTCTAGATAGATATATGTGTGGGACATGTGATATCTAGCAAAATGGAAGTATCCTACTATCCAATAATCCAGAGGCACCTGAAGTCGGGGTAAGCAAACCTCACGGGATGTGAGGACCAATAGTGAGGTAAATAGGAGTTATGACGACTATACCAGGCTTAAAGGTTTGGTACGTCTCACTCAATGGGGTTTACGGAGATTTGGGAACTGTAACACTGCAGGAGAGGAGACCTGGAACATCTGCAGTTGTTGATAACTAATTAGAAAGATTATAGCTTAAGATACAAACTAGTTATGGCAGCACTCTAAAAGGCAGCTTGAGATATGAACTCGGTGTTGGCAGCATAATAGGTACTAATAAGTTAGAGATTACTAATGATGTACTGAATATCTGTTGTAAAAATATGTGTTGTATCACGCATCCACAATAATGAGTAATAAAGAGGCAGTTAAAGAAAAAAAAATAAATAAATAAATATAAAATAATTAATAATCATTTATATGATTGTTATATATTTCGAACTAGTTCAAGTAAAAAACTTGTATTTCTCAAGTTATAATAACAGTAACTCAATTTAAAAGATATTGGAGCCAGTATACTATTGATTTTAAATGCTAATAAGTAGTATACTGTCCCAATTTTCATACTCTAGTTTGAACTTTTTGTTAATCAATTATTCAAATTCTTTGCCATCTTGTAAATTATGCAAAACAAAGCAGGAAAGCCACCACATTGGCTTACTGAATACTTCTATATCATACCCAATAAGTGGGCAAATAAAAGTAACTGGAAATGCATTTGTAGAACATGTATGGATGTGGTGGAAAAAGAGATTGCTCTGCAAGATAAAAATATTAAAATTACAAATACTTTATGTGATTGTACTAGTTATCTTAAGGATTGTTCTTACTTTGCTATAAAATATTCATCAGAACAAATACAAAGTATTATTAATTTAGCTTTAGCCACTTTAGCATCAAAAAAACATATAGCAATATCTAATATAGATGAAGAAGATGAGAAGGATTTGATTTTAACAATATCAACTTACTCTTCTAATTCATTATTAATATTTAATAATATTTTAAGATTCCTTTAACAAAATCAAACAACATCATTTCAATATATTGGTCATTCTTTTAATATATTAGAAGTTTTCAAATTTGAATATCTTGTACTTCATGCTACAATTTCAGCTAGATTTACCTTTTGATAGATAGAAAATCCTGAAGTAAAGAATTATTTTAATTTATTTCTTTATATATAAAATTATCTAATCAAAAATCACTTAGCAATCATATTTTAAGGAATGCAACTAATAAAGTTTAGACAATAATTGTCATAGCTAATACTGAAATTTAGGGCCCCAATTTAATTCTATAATACCTATTAAAATTCATATATACTTTTTTACTAACAACTCTATTCTCAAACCCTAACCTAACACTAAAAAACCCCTAATGAAAAGGCCCAAAAATTTTATAAAATTTTATAATAAAATAATTCAAAATATCAGCATTAGCCAATTTCAGCATCAGCCATGACAATAATTAAAGATCTTGTCTGCAATAATAAAATTAGTATTACAATTGTTTTTGTTAGTTGGCGCAATATTGTAAATCAGGAATTGATGGGCATAGTATTTATATATTTTCAAGAAAAACTTTAATTTGGGGAGCTAAAGATATTAGTATTGAAAGACAGTAAAAAGAAGAAGTAATATCTAGAATTTGTAATCTTTTTGAAAAGATAAAAAAATTAAATATAAGAGCAAACTGTCTTGTAACTGACTCAGCTAGATCATATGCAGTAGCTCATTGTGATTTGAAATATGAAATATATAATAAGGTGTTTATTCTATGTTTTGTCCACCAGACAAATTGTTGCATTGATAATATATTTAAGGAATCTGCAATACTTAAAAATACAAGTAAATATGCAATTCATATTGTTACTTTTTTTCATTACTTTGTATATTTTACTGCCAAACTTTGTGATGAGCAAAAAAATATTTTAAAAAAATATATTAATTTCACTATACCAAGTACAACAAGGTGGAATAGCTATTTTGAATACTTTGATAACATTTAGTATATTTAAAACTAAATTTTAAAATTTAATTTTTTACTTAAAAATTTGAATCTATAGTGTTTTACTAAAAAAATTTTTAGACTCTTGTTACTAAAGACAATGCAGCTTTAGATAATAATTTGAAACTTTTTAATAATATTAAAGTTCCTGTTAATTGTGATTCTTTTTGAAAATCACTTGTTATATTATGTAATATGCTTTATTTATTTTGTAAAGCTCTTGACTTTATACAACATGACAAGGTTCATCTTTATAATGTTTTATGCTCTTTTAGCTTTATTATGCAAATATTTAAAAAACTTAAAGTATTATAATTTCTAATTAAATTGATTGAAAGACTTGAGAAAAAATAGGCTACTTGGAAACAACCACTACTTCTTCTCTTTTTTGTTCTTCACTCTTTATATCATCTAAATTATTTTGATTAAATGCAATTATATATTAACTTTACCTATATGGGTGCATAGTTATTATATAGGACTATTGCAATAGAAAGAGCCAAAACTCAGAAATATTTAATTTTGAGAAAATTGTGTTTATTTTTTGGGATGATCTGGGTTAATCAAAATTTATGTGATTTTATTGGCTAGCAATATCAGATAATCTCGTGATATACAAGTCTTCTAAAAAGTTTTTTTAGAATATCTTAATTTTTTATTATGCAAACCAATTTCTATTTTTAATTAAAAAATATAGCTTACCTCAAAATTAATCAAAATCTTGAAAAAACTCAAGTTTGATTTTTAGGGAGTTTGGGTCCTTTCTACTGCAACAGTTCTATATTACTATAAGGCTTGGTTTGGTACTAACCCAAATCATTTATTTCATGAACTTGAGCTTTACAAGTAGCAAAAGTATCTTTTTATTGAGAAAATATTTAGCAATTTAAAGATGATATTGTTTTTTAGTAGTCTCACAATTTTGGTATTGGACTAGAATTGAGTCGTATTACATGTCAATTATTTGGCATATACATTACAACAGCCTCAGTAAAAAGACTTTTTTTTACTATGGATTATTTGCACTCTTTATTACAAAATAAATTAAAAGTAAGTTTTACTTTGTTATAAATTATTTTTTTATATTAACTTTTTTTTATTAACAGCCAAAAAAATAATTACAATGAGTCAGCTTTGTGCAAAAATCTTATGAACTTATAAAAAAAAATCCAACTTTCTTTATATTCAATCATATCATTCTTCCTCTTTTATCAATTCAGTTTCTATTGTTTCAACTTCTAAAAAAACTGATGCTGATAATAATAAAAATGAGGATACTTTTTCAGAAGCTAATTGGGATGATATCATCAATAAATGTGAAGAGCAATTAATTAAAGAAGAATTTGAAGAAGAACAGAATAATTTAGATAATGCTGATACTGATTTCTTTAATTCAGAAATACATCTTGCTAAAAATTAAGCAGTGAAATAGGAATTATAAAATTTGTTTTTACCTAATTTGCTTTTTCTCTTTAAAAATATTTGAATTATGTATTTACTTTTTATTGATATAGTATAAAATTTTGTAGTGAACATGTGAAGCATTTAAATAGAATGAAAAAAATTGTAGTAAAACAAGTAGAGTATTTGAATAGGATGAAACTATATTGTATATTTTTTATATTACTCAAATTTTAACAATAAATAAATATGTGAAAATTTTCAATGCTACGTATTGCTATAATAATTATATATAATATGTATAAAGTTTACAACTTTCATATAAAATATTTCTAAACTTGAGCATCTATGAATTGAATATTCTATTTCTTACCATTTAATTAATCATAACACACAATAATTATTAAAAAAAATTGCACCTTATAAGTATTATTATATATATACATATTTAATAAAATTTTAAGATCATTAATATATAACTTAAAAACTAACTCAAGAACTATATTATATAATAAGTATATATGCATGATTATTTTGCTAAAAAAGAGTTGGTTTATTAATAAAAGTGTAACTTTATTTATAAAGCTTCATAATACAAACACCTACTCTATAAAAAATATTGTTTGATTTTTGTCTAATTTATATATATATTAAAAAAATTATTGTGTAAAAAAGCACTATTTTGTTTATTTTTTGTATAAAAATTTTTTTACAATAAAAATTTATAATAAAACTAGACAGAATTGTGCCTTTTTAAACAATTATTATACAAAATAGATACAAATATTGTACAAATATAAAACAAAAAATAAATTTAATTTTTTTATAGTGTTAATAAATAAAAGTGAATATAAAAAACTTTTATTTTTCTGATTGACTAAAATTTTATCGATTACAGATGCAATTCTATTGGTTAATTGACATGTGTTAAACTAAATGACCAATCACACAATGCGATTTAATTGGTGATGCACTAATCAATCAGAGAATGATCATAGTAAAATGTAACTCAAATTACTTATAAAAATTGGGGTCTCCAAATGTGGCGTGTGCGCATCTAAAACTTTTTTTATACTAAGTTAATCACTTTTCTAACTTAAGAGACTTTTGTAGAGCTTGTCAAGA